TTCAGCAGCCTACAGACTCTCATTTAGACCACTCAGACTGTGTGCAGTGCACAACTGGGGCATGAGTTAGCCCACAGCCAACTGGGTCTTGGCCTGCACTGTGTTTCAGCTCTCCATGACCAGGGCTGGTCTGGGTACTAGAAGCACTGAGGAGGTAGGGGCAGAGGGGCCGTCCTGAGTGAAGTCCAAAGGATGCTATTTCCCAGTTCAGGGTTCCCACCCAAAAGCTATGCAAGAGCTACATGTGGATGTAAACTCTGTGTATGACTGTGACAACCAATTCTCTGGTGACCACAGCTCTGAGGGCTCTAGTGCCAGTTCTTGAACCCAGGGAGCCAGAGGCTCCACAGTAGAAGCCTTTGGGGCAGGGCTCACAGGTGCCTTGAGCTTCCTGGGGTTGGAAGGTTCCATTCTCACAGGTCCGTGGCTGGGGAAAACCTTCAAGACGGTTGAAGCCATGAGAGCACCAGAAAGATACAGGTGTGGCCAGGGGGACAGTAAAACCTAATAGAACACAGCTTACTGGGGAAGTGAATCCCAGCCCCTGCGGAGCAGAGAGGGGCATAGAGTCTTGTAGATGGAAGGCCCAGCGGCATTTAAGATGAAAGGAAGGAAAGAAGAAAGGAAGGAAGGAAGGAAGAAAGGAAGGAAGGAAGGAAGGGAGGGAGGAAGGGGTGCTCTAGTAGGCTGGGGCAGAAGGCCCAGGGTGACCTGAGCTTAAGCCATCAGGCTTTGGAGCTGGAGTCTGGGTCTCTTCTGGGACCTGTGTCCTGTCTAGGTTTGGGGTGACCCTGGGCTCTGTGCTTCCTTTTGGCTATGTGCTTTTTCCCTGGCTTTGTCCCCCTCTAACCTTCCCCACTCCCTGTACAGGGCCTCTCTTGGCTCAGACTACCCTCTTTAGGTAGCAACATCATGACAAGGACTGAGGAGTTGTAAGACAGGTGTGGTTTTACCAAGAGATTATCTGAGTCAAAGCAAGGAGCACTGGCTTGGGAATTGAGAATCACAGATTAGCGTGGGATTGAAATGTACAAGGTTTGGCCTGGTGGCAGATGGGCTGATGCCGTCCATTGCCATCTGATTCTGGTGTGACACATGGTGCCCCTCCCTCCTGCCTCCCACTGCACTCTCCAGGCCATGTGCTACCCAGGTGGCCCATGAACAGTTGGCAGAGGTATGACACACTGTAGCCTTCCACACCACGCCTCCCACTGCACTCACCAGGCCATGTACTGTCCAGGTGGCCTATGAATAGCTGGCAGACACAACTGTTGGTCAGGCCCACCTCAGCCTCTCCTGCCTGCATCATGGCCATGGTCATGGCTATCCTTGGGCACAATCTTGGCAGAGACCCCTGAAGTCTCACCCCACTGCTTCCTAGTTGCACCCTACGTCCCTTCTTAGTTCCTGCCCTGGGTGCAGTTCTGATGCTTTTCCTTTCCCTGAGGTTCCACCTGCCACAGACCTCAGTCACTGTTAGAACCAGAGCAGGCTCTTACAAGGTCTTCCCCTTGTGTGCAATCCCTCTGCCCTCCACGTCCCCAGGCACATTATCCAGTGCCCTGTTAAAGTACCCGCTGGAGCTCAACATGCCACTGCTTTGTGGCCTCCATCCCCCCTCTGCCCTCCCTCTGGGCTGTGGTCTGCCACACTGCTCTGGCCAGCAGAGCCAGTAACGTGGACAGGGAGATGGTCTGGGGATGAAGCACCGACAGGAGACCAGTGATGATACAAGTAGCTCCCAAGCCTCCCTTTATTGCTCCTTTTATACTCTTTTCCCCAATTCCTTTAGCCAAAAAATAGGATGACAATGAGTCCCATTAGTCCAGGTGCCTTTAGTTGCAAGCCCATTTCCTGTTACTGCTCAGCTTAACAAGCGTAAATTAACTTGTTACTTGTAAGGACTTATTCCAATATCCCACCCTGGACCTGGCACCATTTATTCTTCCTCACAGCTCATGGAATTCGTGCCAGTTCAGCCATCCACCAATCAGATGTAACCTGGCATTCCACCTGAGAATCCCACCCCCAATCTCCCAGCCCCTTCCCCAAACCCGCCTACTCACCAATCATCCCCAGGCATTCACCTGCAGGCACCAATCCCCTGGGGCCTTGACCTCAATCCCTCTGAATCCCCGCCCCCCACATCGGGCAGACAAAAAGGGCCCCCAGGTGCGGTTCTCTCTCCTTCTTCTTGGGGTCCTCTCCCTTGCTCTTCCCCTCTCTCCTCCTTCTGGCCTCCCTTCCCCCCCTTCCCTTTCCCCTTTTCCTGCCCCGCTGGAATAAACTTCCCAAGATATGTCGTTGCGTCTGGTGTTTTCAGCTCACGGTAAAGAACCAGGTTGCAGGAATTAGCTGCGCGTAAAGTATCGTCATATCCTATGAGCTAGAACTAGAACTCGCATCCCGCTTTAAATAACTAACATTACTCACAGCACCACACCCATTAGTAGGTCATATTCACTGAATGTCAGGGCACCTAGGATGTTGGCCCACATGCTGACCAAGGGATCCCTGAGACACACAGGTATCCCAGAAAAGTCCCAGACAGATATCTTGGATCTCCTGAATCAGTGCAGAATTGTCCTGCAGGACAGGGTCTATAGTCCTTGATGCTATCTGTTCCTGGCTTCTCTAGGAAGGTGTCCCCAGGACATGGGTGCTGGGTGGGGCAGTGGGTGCCTAGAGGGCAGTAGTATCCACCTGGACAGTCCATTGGCCACACGGACCAAGCTCCCTGTATTCCAAAGGGACAGAACCTATGGACACAGTAGTTGGGTGTCAGAAGGATGAGAGTTGATGTAAGCCCGGCTTCCTAGTATTATAGGGTTTTTCACCCTAAATACAGCAGCGACCTCAAGTCTTGTCTCGCAGGAAAGAATTTTTGTGCAGACACAGTTTAGTTTTAAAGCAAGATTTATTAGAAAAGCTGAGAAAGGAGACTCCCGTCCTAGTGATGGGAGGGGGCTCTGAAATAGAAAGGACCCTTACCCCTGCCATGGTGGTGTTGTGGTGACACTCCAGACAGGGTAGCTGGATGGATCCTGTTCCCAGGCTGGCCGGCAAGCGGGTGCGGCAAATCAAACGGGGCTCCCCTAACAAGGGCTCAGCCAGGCAGGTGGGCCACGAGCAGGCAGAGGTGGGGCAGAGGTTTCAGCTGTTTCGGTCTGGACCAGGCAGGGCCTGGAACAGTGTTACAGCTCAGCGGCACTAGCCAACAGCTGGCCGGTCCGCGTGCAGCTCTGGGCCGCTCTAACGCCAGGGACGACCTTCGTGGCCTCTTCACTGTGGTCACGGTTGTGGTCTCCGCCGCTTCTTCCCTCCGCCGTCACCACCGCTTCTGTTGCTACCGCCTCCTCAGCACCCCCTAGGCAGGCGCCGGGGTCGCTGAGATCACGGTGTCGGTCACCACTGCCGCCGCTGCTGCCTCTACCGCCGCTGCTACCGCCGTCGCCGCCATTCCTCCCCGAAGAATCACCAGGAGTCAGGAGTCGACAGGAGCGTTTATTCGAACATGCCCGGGTCCCCGAAGACGAAGATCCCGAACCTCTAAATCTTAGGGTTTTTATACAAAAATCAACCAATCAGGGGGTTAGTTTTAGTATCCCTCATTAGTATGGGACCCTTACACCATTGGTTAGTTCAAGGGGTAGGTGGGGGTTCTTTATTGGGGTGACGGGACAGGTGTCACGTAGGCAGGTAGGTCCCCTGCAGGGCACCTGGGCAGCTGTCCCCAAGTTGCCAGCCCTGAGCATCAGGGAGGGGAAAAGGGTTAGATTGACTAAGTTCTTCAGTGGCAGGAGGAAAAGTACAAAGACCCATATTAATGATGGGGAAAAGTACAAAGACCCATATTAATGATGGGGAAAGCACCTTTTAAAGGTTTACATAAACAGAGGAGAATTCCTGGACCCCTGGTATTTGGCTTTGGGGCAAAAGGCCAGACAGGTGTAAAAATACTACTTCCTTCGTCCCCTCTTCAATGATAAGGAGACCAGCCTGAGGCCCTCCCACAAAATGGGCAGAGATAATGGCTGATGCTTCAGTTGGGGAACTGATCTGCTAATGTCACCCTTGTCTCTTGGAAGAAAGATGTTCTGGGGAGTCTAAGACATGGTGGGGAAAACAGCATTTTGTCTCTGAGAAGAAAATGGCTTGGGGACCTGTCGCGAACACCGAGCCCGGTCACCAGAACAAATGCCAAGAGTCGAGAGTGGATGCTTTGCAATCAAGCATTCAAGCATTTATTCAGGCAAGCACACACCAAACAGGATGGGGGAAGCCACCGAGAGTGCCTCTTGACTTCAGTCTCATGGAAGTCTGCTGGGCCTTTGGCTCCGGCCTCGTGGGAGCCTGCAAGTTCGAGTGGAAGCCCAAGACCTTGGCTCCAGTCTCGTGGGAGCCTACTGGCTTCTATGGCTCCGGCCTCGTGGGAGCCTGCAAGTTCGAGTGGAAGCCCAGGGGCTTTTGGCTCCAGTCTAGTGGGAGCCTGCTGGCTTCAGTAACTGGGACAAATGCATGGGTTTATATACAAATTCAGGGGCAAAACAGGCAGTTGTTTACAATATTTTGATTGGTTATTACATATTATCTATCAATAACACTTGCTTTTTCTTAATTCTAAAAAACATGCATATTCATTCTCAAAACATACCTATTCATTAATATACAATTATTTCTTCTTTATCATTCCTACCATGACATGCTTACGTACATTGTGGTTTCTTGACAAAGGTGATAAGGGGAGGGCTTGTGCGCCTAGGAGTCTCTTGACAGGAGCGATAAGAGAGGAGGCCCCGTTTCACCAGTAGTTTAGGAGGATGGAGTCACCTTTGTTAAAAGACTCTAACATACACACTATATCCATTATTAAGTCACAGCATAACTTACAAAGGAGATCTATTATTGCAGCTATTTCTGGATCATCAATTTCTGATAAAACTATAACAATATTGAGGATACAATTAAGATTATTAATAATACTCCAACCCATATTTCCCAAAGCTCCATTTTTATTTATGGTCATGTTTTGCTGGAGCAATGTAAATGTAAAGTACTTATAGTCAGACTGTTCCTATCAATCCACCCCCTGATCCGTCGGTGGTTCCAGAGGAATCGCCGATGGATCACAAATAGGAGACAAGGGGAATACCCAATGGGAAAGATGTCATAGGCTGAGTCGCCTACGACGACGACGAATTCGTCGTTCGCCAACAAGTGTTGGGTGTCTCCAAGGGTGAAGAGTTGCGGTGGTGAGGGAGCTGGGCGGCGCTTGGATAAAGGGCCGTACAGTTGCTACAGGAGTAGGTCTGTTGGGATCGAACGTTGAAAAATTACGGCGTCCAAAATCCAACGGGTCTGGTCCATAAATAAAAGTGGATCTCAGAAAATGCTATAAATCAAAAGAAAAATCATAAGGTGGGCGGAGAGATGGATATTGCTTCATTGTCTTCTGAACTGCAGTAGAATCTTGATGTAGTTTATCTATGACGTGTTGGTTTTGAGTGAAGAGTGTGTCCAGATGTTGAGTGGACTCTTGCCACTTACTAAAAATTTCATGGCTGGATGTGACAGGCTTAACAAAATAATGCAAACCAAAGGTTTGGTTTGTAACCATGGCCACTGAGGTTAGGACTGTCTGGTTGGTTTGATCGTGTTTTGCCATCATGGTGTTGGTATGAACATGGCATCCTGTGGGGAGTTCGACATGTTCCTTGTAGGAAGTGTTGTGCCACAATTGGACCGAATAGGCAGAGTCACCGCACGTGAGGATACGATACCCATCAAGGTCTGTTATGCGTCTGATGCCATGAGGCCACAGGGCGATTCTAGAGGTCGGATAGTCCGGCCTCCAGAGCTCAAACCCTAGAAAAAGGCCTGGCCCAAGCGCATATACTGAAGACATGGGCACATACCAGGAACTGTTGTCCACCACCGCCAACAGGTAACGATCATAAGGTACCAGCCAGGAGCCAGAGATGTATTGTGGCACCGGTACAGTGTCAAAAGCCACTACAGCCGATGAAGTGGAAATCTGCCATATATAGGTCACAAAAGCCGTCAACACAGGAACTTTCTTTAGTAGGGTCTAAAACAGTTATACCCGATCTTGTGTCACGACCAACGCCAGTGTTGAAAAGCATCTTGAGATCATTGAAGGCAGCTTGCAGCATTAACTGCGCATGTAGACACTCTTGACGATGGAGAATCTGGGATACTTCCTGGGCAACAATCTTTTCATCTTCTAGTTGTTTTTTGAAGAGGATGTTCATGCCTTCTTTAAAGCTCTGTTGTTCCGCATGCATTTTGTCCAATGTAACAGCAACAGCATGCAGGTTGTTGGAAATAGCTTGGACTGCTCGGAATTGTTCATTCTGTAGGTGTCACAGGCTCGTGATCTGTACTTGAAGTTCTTCAGTCATGGCACCTGCAATCAGTGCACCAAGTGCAGTCCCCACAAGGAATGCACCTATTTCTGCTACCTGTAGCAGACGTCGTCCTGAGTTTCCGCCTTGGGCTGCGTGATAAAGGGTTGGTAAGGCGAAATATCGCTTATCACATTGCAAGCTGGACAAGTCTGTAGAAGTGAAAGATGTTAGGGACAGACGTATATGCATAGGCGTGATTGATGGTTTGATTAGAATACGATGTGGTCTTGAAACTACTGGGAGGATGCCTGGTGCTGAGATGGTCATAGCTAGCACTACTGGTGGGTTCACTACTGCTGACGGATAATGTGCTGTGACCCATCGGTGGGTCTCATTAAATCCACCGCGATCGATTAAACAAGGGTCAAGCGGGGATTTAGTTCCACATGTATCAAAATTCATTCGATATTCAAAGACAGGGTATACAAATGAATTGTCTACAACATCCCTATGGTTTTTCAAGATGTTATGGCTAATAATATCATACATAGCCCATTCATTATCTGGTCCAGGTAAAAGCATATAGGTATAATATGGGAGACTTCCCACCCACAGTACATGAGTGAAATTATCAAAGTTCATGCCTTGATAAAGCCACCAGTGCACAGTATGGTGGTGCGCCTCCGGAACCAATGGATATCTTACCACCGCATCAGTAATGTCAAAATCATTTGGACAATTGGTTTGTGTAGGCATATATGCGGCCAATTTAGAATTTACTGTCAATACCACTTCATTAAGAGAGGGTGGGTGGTAGTCATATAAAGTGACTGCTGGAGAGAGTTTCCTTGGGTAATTTGCACGAATTGCATAAGTAATATTGGTAACATGGGTGGAGATATCCATAGGTAAATCAAAATAGGATACATTGTACAACAAAGAGCGATGTTTGGCAGACACACGTTTCATGGAAAAGGGTCCCCAATCACACCTCTTCCAGAAATGGGGGTGTGAAGAGACTGGCTTGCATCCGGCTCGTTCAACAGCCATGGTAGAATAATTGGCCCATAAATATTGGACAGATGACTTGGATATATTAGTCACTGGCACCCAATGGGGCAAATGTTCGTCACATTCTTGGAAGCAGGTAAAGCCAAAATTGACATTAACCCGCGAAAGGTTAGTCCAAATTAAAAATGGTAATCGTTGTGTGACATTAACAACATTAGATGCATCAGGGCTCAATATATCTGTCAAATTCCATCGATAAGGGATGGTTACATGAGTTTCTGCAAAGTGGGCATCAGATATGGTATAAGCATTAGACCAAGACACAGGCCTGTTGGGGTTGAGATATAAATGTGACTGGTTCCACATTGGTTTTGTATACCAGTTTGCATAATTGTATAAGGAGAATGTGAAATTAAAAATATCATTTAATACTTGCCACGGTGGGGCTTGGCAAAAATTTTGGCTCAGCCGGAAGGTAGTCCAAGTCTCTTCACCCCCGGGACCATATACCGGCATAGTATAATCAGGAGCATATCTGGGCTGTGACGGAAGTAAATCACAATGATATTGAAATTCAAAAGGAAAGCAAATCCAACCCATATCAGTACTTTTGGGAGTTTCATGCCAGAGAAAGAGACTACGCACACAAAGGAATTGGCGAAGAGCCTGAGTGCCAGTTAGATCAGGGGTACGGGTACTTTCATGGGGTGGGTTAAAAGATGGAAAGGGTTGTGGAACAGGGTCAGTAATGACCAATGGAGTGCACCAGGTTTGAGTACCTAGGCGCATGACTTCCCACCATTGATTGATAGGTAAATAAGAAGAATTAGTAATCAGAAGAGAAAAATTAGTATGAAAGTGCTGAGCATAGGGCCAAGGTAAAAGGACGGAATGAGCCATAAATTGGTAAATTGGGAAAATTTGCTACACATGACACATAGATAGTCTTATTTGGGTAAAAAGCTTGGATCTTCTGGGTCAAACTTTTGTCAATGAAATCACAAAATATTCCCCAAGGTGATGGCAAGGTACGGTTGGGCTTTTGAAATTCTGGTTTACACGTGATTGCCTGATTGGACATACATGTTCTATAGGGAGGTTCCGTAGTAGATTCCGTACGTGCAGTGGGGAGAGTAGGAGGGGAAGAATCAGAAGAATCAGGATAGTCAGAAAAGTCAGAATAAAAAGCAGAATAATCATAATCATCTGTTGGTGCAGCAGACTTTTCCCATAGGGCAAAAGCTTGAGCTGGCAAGGAATATTTAAGAAATTTTCCACACTTAAAATATGTGTCAGAAGTCATTTGTGTATAAAAGGTAATATTCCTGGTGCCATTGATCTGTATTCCCACAACATGTGGGCGTGCCGCCAGTTTCTGGGCATAATAAATATACATGGGAGATGACCCCCATACATCTCGGACCAATTCTATAAGATGACATCTCAAAGGATTTTCTTCATTAATATTAGTTTGTAAAAAGCCAATGTCTGATCCATCTGACAAATCAGAAGCATGCCAGACCGGTGAAAAATGAGCATCGGTCCTAGCATCCCAATATGCCGTGCAATTACTTGGGGAAAAACTCCTTGAAAAATGGTTGCAAAAAGCATAATGATTCCAAAAATATAAATTATTAGCGGTAAAATTTGAGAAAATAGATCTGCTGAGCCAATAGGTCGGGGAAGTGGCGTCCTTCAAGGAAAGCTCATCACCACTTACAAAGCAAAAAGGCAATAGGAGAAATTGGAAAATGTGCCACATGGCCCAATATCAATAATTCCAACTACAGCAGTGTAATCGGGGCTGCAATTGAGTGTAGTACAGATAGTATAGTGGGCAACAAGCCACAAAGCCAAAAGAAATAAGACTATTACAACAAGCAATTGAATGGCACGGCAGACTGGCCTAATCATCTTGCAATTAAATCATCAGACATGGTGAGGCGTAATTCGCCTTTACCTGATGTAGTCCAAAATGAGTGTCCTGGACCCTGTGCGACGATGTCCGTTGCGTATATGGCCTTATTCTTCCTGTCTCTGCCAATTGCCTTGTAAAGCACTATAGGTTGCCCAAACATATTTCTCAAATAGAGAATATTTGTTTGGTGCATATGGGAATCTTTTGCATCTGAAGCCAATTGGTAAAGTTTTCCCTGACCTTTTAATAAACATTCCCCATGATGCATAATCCTTCACAAATAAGATATCTATAACTAATTCTTCATCTGGTTGAAGAATATATAATTGTGCATATAATTTCATATAGCTCAAGGCAGTATGAAAGGCATCTTGTTGTTCTTTACCCCATACAAAATCTTGTGCTTTCCTAGTAACCTTATACATTGGTGCTAGAAGAATTTGTAAATAGGGTATGTGATTTTTCCAATAGCCAAATAAACCAATTATATGTTGGGCTTGTTGTTTAGTTTTGGGCTCTTCAATGTGGGTTAAAATATCCATTACCTTGTCAGGGATGCTGGGTCCTACTGAGGACCATAAGACTCCTAAAAATTTCACCTGTTGACTAGGGCCTTGTATTTTATCTGGATTTACAGTCCATCCTGCCTGTTGTAACAGGGTGACTAGTTGTTTTATTGTAGAATCAACTTCAGATTTGTCCTTGCCAACAAGTCATCCACATAAGAGAAGACTCTTACAGATTTTGGGAATGAGTCCCAAGGAATAGTTTGTCGGAGTGTAGCATGGGCAATGATTGGACTATTCCGGTACCCTTGTGGCAACCTAGTGAAACGATATTGGCATGCATCCCAGGTAAAGGTAGTAATTTCTCTTGATTCCTCAGCTAGGGGTATACAAAAGAACATATCGGAAAGGTCAACAGCTGCATACCACTCTGGGGCTAGTTGTTTAATGCCCGAAAATATGGATTCTACTTCAGGTAAATTTCCTGGCATTTGTGGTGATAATTTATTAATGTTACGATAATCCACCGTAAAACGCCATTTACCATTAGGTTTCTTTACTGGCCAAACTGGACTGTTATAATTAAATGATTGGGTGCGCTCTACCACCCCCTGATCTTCTAACTCCCTTAAAGCCTCAGTAATTTCATCATGTCCTCCCTTAATGGGATATTGTTTAGTAAAGCTAGCTGGAATTCGAGGGAGTACTACTGGATCAATTTTTACTATACTTATTACAGCACAGATCCCCTTTAATTGTTTTGATGGTAGCCATTCCCCTACTATATCCTGCAATAAATCCATGCCTAAAACACAGCATTCAACATTCATTTTCATAATATCTGCCTGCAGGGGTTCCCTATTATATACATATATTACAATTGGAATTTTTTGGGCGGGTATGGGGGCTCCGGATATCCCCCTTACCCAATTTTCTGGCTTGATTTCCTTAACATATACTTCATTATTAACAATGGTTACCTGTGACCCTGTGTCGACCAAGAACCTCGCACGAAATTCCTTCCCTTCACACCTTCCTGCCAGGAGGATGTACGGTCTGTTCTCTCCGGTCTGCCTGGGGGGCAGTGAAATTGCCTCTCTACTGGACTGGTGAACCGGGGTTGTTGTCGCTGTATGTTGTGTTTCCAACCTTGTCCATTCGGAAACTGTCTGTTGGACAGTCCCTGCCTCTGAAATCCTATTCTCATCCCTTGGGAACCTTCTCCATTCCTTCCGCGTAAAAAACTGCGCGGTGGGGGAGGCCTCCTGGAAAGGGGTCCGGGCTGGCCACTTCCCGGGCCCCTTCCTTCATTTTTTACCCGAATGTTTTGGAAAGGGGCTCTTACCTGAGATGCCTCTGTTACCTGAAAGCTCGGGAAAGGCTCATACATTTGTGTGGCAAATACTGCCCTAGGATTGTTACTTAAGTCCCGGTACTGTCTAAGGCAATCAGTCACTTCCTGTAAGTCATGCATGCCTGCAATGCTCCCTGCCAAAAACATCCTCATGGATTCTGGTGCTCCTCTTACTATGATATTCCTCATAGCTGGTGTTAATCGTATTGTCAGTGGGTGAAGCTCTGGGTTATCCTCATACATTTTGCACAGTAACCCTATCTTCCTTATCACCCGAATACCTTGTACTGGGTCACTCCACCTGGCTTGGGGTTCTATACTAGCCAAATCTAAATATGGGAAGGCCTGCACCCATGCTCGTGCAATCCATGCAAACAAGGATCTGGTCTCATCTTCATCTAATTCTATTACTGATCTTAAAGCTTCCTGTAAATTTGGATGTTCTACTGTTAAGTTAATCTGCTTCATTTCTTCTGCTGTCAGTTTTAAACCTGTGGCTCCCTTAGTCCATAGTGCATCTAAATAATCTACATCAGAATGCTGTTTCTGAGAGAAATCTCCACGAATCTGAGAGATCTCAGCCCTAGTTAACTCTGGGGTTTCCACCACCTTTTCCTGCTGGGGTCTGTGCAGTAGGTATGGATGACATGAAGGTGTGAAGAGAACAGCTCCCCTGCTTGGCAGGGCCTGGGGGAGCTTACAGCTGTTTGGCAGGGCCCGGCGGATTTCTCTCTGACCACCTTGACGCAGTCTCACCCCCTGTTTGCATGGACACTCAACCACCCCACTAAGAATTCTGCAATCTATTAGGCATAGTTTGCCCCTGTAAGATGGCTTTTACAACCAACATGAGCTTAAAAGTTAATGTTACTGATAATGTCTTGGTGAGTGGGCCTTTAACTGTGCATAGGAGTACAATTAAGCCCATGCTGTTTCCAGACACCTTATTGTGTGCCTAACCATTGCTCTGAGATCTGGTCCAAATATTTAGCATGCTTTCTGGGAAATGGCCTGATAAGAGTTTCACAAACTAATGGAAGTGATGGGAGTATGGGTTGAAATTGCTATGACAAAAAGTATAGCTATCCTGTTACTGGGACCCTAAAGGTTAGCCTGTTATAATTACTGTGACCCCAAAAGGCCATCCTGCTATGGTAAAAGTATAGTTACTGTGACCCTAAAGGCTATCCTGCTATGGCAAAATATAGCTACTGTGACCTTAAAGGTTAGCCTGTCCTTGCAACTCTCAACTCTTTAGAACATAGTAAATGTAGTTGCTTTGGCTGCCTTCATAATTTTTTAACTAGAGGAAATATAGGGTGACTTTACCAACATCATGTATACTTATGATTATTGTTTGATCATTTATGAGGTTGTAGAGCCTGCAGTTGTAGAGGGATTTAATGTTTGAAACTTTTGTCTTAGATTTTTATATTTTTTCTCTTTTGATGTATTTCTCTCATTAAGTGATGGATAAGTTATAGAATAAGAAATGTAGTAGGAATGTATTACTGAATAAGATGTGCTGTCTACTGAGAAAATGTTGGCTGCAACATCAGAATGGATAATGTCCTGTCTTAAGGTGAAACTATCTGTAGAGTTATCTTTGGAACCATTTACTTGCCCATTGTAGAGCAGAAACCTAAATGGAGTAAACATGGCTCATTGCTAATTGCAGTTCCTTCCGTCGTTGTAACTCTTGCTTAGTTAGCAAACTGTGTGGGCCTGCAGACCTAATGACCTTTGGTACCAATACCCTAATCCCCATAAACCAAGGTCTCAGCCCTTTTCCCATGCGTAATTCAAGGTAGGGGTCTGGTTGTCACAGGCAGTGCCAAGGATGGGACCCAGACTTGAGGGAAGTAAGTAGGGGCTGGCAAGCCGAGATAAGCAAAGAATGTGGGGTCCTCCCTCACTCGCCTCTCAAGCAGTTGTAAATTGTGCCCCTCTTGAAGCCATGTCAAAATGCCCTAAAAAAGACTGTGTACTGCTTCTGTATAAATAAAGCGGACAGCTTTCTCGCGGGGTCCACAATGATGTTGGAATTGTAGTGGTCCGTCTCTTCTTTCTACGCCTACTTCACGCACCCTTCTCGAGCTCCAAACTCAGCTGGAGCTGGACTCCGGCATTTTCCCCAGCCTCTGCGCGTCTGCGTTGGCTTACTGGGGTTGACAATTTGGTAATTGTCACTGGCATTGCCTTACTAGTTTCCTCCAACTGTTCCTCATACACCTTAGCTAGGAATGGGTTACCTGATTTTAACACTGCTTCCTTAACCAACCTTTTTCCTCGCTGTCTGTCTTCCTCTATGTCATTAATAACCTTGCATAAGATGCCGGGAACTTCCTTCTTTCCTGCTCTTGCTAGGATCAGCTCTACTATATCTGGGTTGCTCAGCTGGACCCCCACAGCTGTGCCCTTTGGATCATTAGGGAACTTTGCCTGAACTACACGTTCACAACTGCGCCATAAGGCTTGGGGTCTAAGTTCCTTATTCTGATTTTCTTCATTTCTCTTCCGGAAATTCAGTTTCTTAATTCTCTCTATTATTTTTTGGCCCATATTGATAATCTAACTAACAATTGTACCTTAATTAATTTAAATTCCCACTGAACAAAATTACAATTGCCGGCAGTTTTAATTAAATCACCGATCCCTTCTTCAAATTTCACTTCCAAATATCTTTCTATCCTCCTTCTGACCCATCCCATTCGGGGCACTCACCAATCCGGGTGTTCGTCCTCCTCGATCCTCCAAGCTGGGGTTGGAGCTGGAATTGTGTCCTCCGAGGATCCTGCCGACTACGCCAACTGTCGCGAACACCGAGCCCGGTCACCAGAACAAATGCCAAGAGTCGAGAGTGGATGCTTTGCAATCAAGCATTCAAGCATTTATTCAGGCAAGCACACACCAAACAGGATGGGGGAAGCCACCGAGAGTGCCTCTTGACTTCAGTCTCATGGAAGTCTGCTGGGCCTTTGGCTCCGGCCTCGTGGGAGCCTGCAAGTTCGAGTGGAAGCCCAAGACCTTGGCTCCAGTCTCGTGGGAGCCTACTGGCTTCTCTGGCTCCGGCCTCGTGGGAGCCTGCAAGTTCGAGTGGAAGTCCAGGGGCTTTTGGCTCCAGTCTAGTGGGAGCCTGCTGGCTTCAGTAACTGGGACAAATGCATGGGTTTATATACAAATTCAGGGGCAAAACAGGCAGTTGTTTACAATATTTTGATTGGTTATTACATATTATCTATCAATAACACTTGCTTTTTCTTAATTCTAAAAAACATGCATATTCATTCTCAAAACATACCTATTCATTAATATACAATTATTTCTTCTTTTATCATTCCTACCATGACATGCTTACGTACATTGTGGTTTCTTGACAAAGGTGATAAGGGGAGGGCTTGTGCGCCTAGGAGTCTCTTGACAGGAGCGATAAGAGAGGAGGCCCCATTTCACCAGTAGTTTAGGAGGATGGAGTCACCTTTGTTAAAAGACTCTAACATACACACTATATCCATTATTAAGTCACAGCATAACTTACAAAGGAGATCTATTATTGCAGCTATTTCTGGATCATCAATTTCTGATAAAACTATAACAATATTGAGGATACAATTAAGATTATTAATAATACTCCAACCCATATTTCCCAAAGCTCCATTTTTATTTATGGTCATGTTTTGCTGGAGCAATGTAAATGTAAAGTACTTATAGTCAGACTGTTCCTATCATCCACTCACAAGGCACCGACAGTAAGCTTAAGGCCTCGCAGAAGTTTGTTGAAACTATCTGTGATGTATCCTCATGGTTTGCTCTCCTTGTAGCCACCTTTATCCTCTGGCACTTGGGAAATAATGCTTTGTCATCCCATCAAGCGGGGGTGCCTTCCTTCCTTCAAAAATTATCTGTAAGAAGGGGGAGGGAGCCGCAAACCAGAGTAAGTAGACAGAAGGAACTCCAAACCAGGGTAACAAAGAAGGAGCTGCAAGCTGGGAATAGTAGACAGAAGGAACATCGAACCAGAATAAGTAGACAGAAGGAATTCCAAACCAGGGCAAATAAGGAAAAGAAACCACAGAACAGACAAAGTCTAGAGCAATTGTGCGAAGTAGATTCAGAGTCCTCTTCTGAGGATGAGGAAGGGGTAGAGGATGGAAGTGAGTCTTCCGAGGATCCCCCGCCCATTGGAAGTTTGGCTGAATGCTTTTGCTGTCTGCTTTTTGATTCATCCAGACCTCTAATACCTGAATCTTAACTTTTCTGTTGCCTGGTTGTCCACCTGTTAAATATTTTTATATGATCAGGAAAAAAGGTAAAGTCAAGAAAAAAGATTTTACAGAACTTGTCCTGTAGGCTTGCAAATTGTACTTTGGTAGGTCTTTTGTTGTGATAAATGTTTGGCAAGCTAGCTTCATCTGCATATCCATGGCCCATGGCAACTTTTGGGGTTTTAGAATTCTAAGAAATACAAGTAATACAAGGCAAATCTCTTGTTTCATTTGTGATATTTTCAAAAATGTGAAATTTTATCGCAAATAATTTTTTAGAAGTAAACTCTAACGCAGTACTAAATTATTTCAAGGTATAAGTTAGATTAATGTGGTATTGTATACAAAGCATTTTTATAGTTTTAAATAAGTCTTGTGTTTTTGGCTGGTTATCAAATTTCTCACTGCTTTAAATTGGTAAAGGTTTTGTATTTGTTTTAAAGGTATTTGAGTGATGATTCATGTCAATAATGGAGTCTAATCAATAATGCGTTATACTAACAACAACAAAAACCTTCTTTTAGATATTTTTAGCCATCCTTAAAGAGGCATCCAAGAATTCAAGTTTCCAATTCTAGGGTTTCCCTGGGTATTCGTATAAAGCCTCAAGAATGCCAACAAATTGATCTCCCGTTTTGTGGAGACAGTTGATCAGGCTGATTGGATTAAGATTATTGCTAAATGGAGTAAAATTTTGTCATGTCAAAATGTTGTACACATCTATGGAGTTGTGAAAGTTTAAATCCTAGTTTACACACTTTTCATGATTTAGCTCTGCAGTTGTATCTGGTTATTCACTATGTATTCTTAGCATAGCTATTTTACTGAAAAGACTAAAATTTACATTCTTATTATGATAAAAGAATTTCATAATAGTGACTTTTCTTTCTCAAAGTCGTGACTCAAAGCTATTTACTTGATGGTTTCTCAGCTACTGGTTTCTGGTGAACACTACTACTACTAAGTTTAATTGAGAACAATTTTTTTAAGTCTCCAAAAGTGTGTGTGTGTGTGTGTGTGTGTGTGTGTCTTAAGGTTTGTCTTCTGTATAAGTTGTCTAGCATTGTAATAATGTGTTACTGTCTCCTTATTAGTCAGAAAATGTTCTAGCTTTTTGTAAATTAAGTTTAAAAACTTCCTGTAGGAAACATTTTAAAAAGCAGGTAAATTTACACATCTGTCTCATCAGCTATCTGGATCCTTAGCTGCAAACCCAGGACGCATAATTTACATATCAATATCAAAAGCAGGTTGCCTTGAGCTCTGAATTCTGCAGACACTTCCAGAGCTTTCTGATAGGACTATGAAAGTATCTAAATGATTTTTAAAACTTTGCTACAAACTCATTTACTTTGACTAAGATTACTAGTTAACACAGATTTCTTTAATTTATATAATTCAAATTGCTAATAGTCTGTTTTCAAAAAATATTATGTCATTGATTTAAAGCTATTATTTGACAGTTTTCACTCTATACTGTCCCCATAAGAGTAAACAACCTGGTATTTCAGACCTAAGGCCCCCTTGCTTAATATCCTTAAGAACAAGGTATTATAGAACGTGCCAACAGTACTATCAAGGATTATCTTACTAAAACTAAAAAGGGGGAGTATAGCACTCCCCGAGATCATTTGAACCTTGTATTATTTATCTTAAATTTTCTAACATTGGATGCTGAAGGACGGTCTGCTGCAGATCGTCATTGGAATCCATCCCATAAGGAGAAAAGGGTTATGTGATGTGGAAGGATCCCTTGACTGGTCAGTGGCAAGGCCCAGATCCCGTCCTCATATGGGGGCGAGGTTCAGTTTGTGTTTTCCCAGAAAACGAAAATGGCCCAAGGTGGATTCCTGAGAGGCTTGTCCGGCAAGCTCCTGCTGCTAAGTCTTGTGAAAGCTCGGGTACTAGCCAAGATGATGGCATTTGAATCGGAAGATCGACAGGACAAGCAAGTATGTTAGGCCTTTATATAAGTATATTAGTATTTGGTAAGCACCCCTCTCTTTATCTTTTCTTTGTCTTATTGAGAGAGGAGTTAGATTGGGTAGTAGGCAGTCAGGGTATTCTGGGTACCCAAGTCATTTTTTCAAAAATAAAATTCCCCACCCTGTCTTAAGGATGCTATTAACATATCAATTCCCCACCTGAAGTATCGGCCACTACCTCTGGCCATTGTGGGAGGGCCTCAGGCTGATCTCTTTATCATTTGAAAGGAGGGCAGGAAGAAGTAATACACATCTGCCCTAGGCCTGGTATGTCCTATGTCTGGCACCTTTGTGGCCTTTTGTCACAAGGCAAAGTGCCATGGAAAGCAGGAATTTTCTTTGTTTATGGATTTCATGCTAGTTTTTCCTTTAACCAGACTTCAGACTATCTGGTGTACGACCCCAGTTGTTAGGGGTCTGGCCCAACCTTTATAATAGCTCAATTTCTGCCTGTGCTTTTTCTTATTATTCCCCTGTTATTACCACGGGGAAATTACCCACCTATTCTATGTGGCCGCTTTGTGAGGTATGGACATGCACTGGCATGCACCCCGTTTTTCCTTCTTTAGGAATGCAATTATTCCTATGGAATTTATCAGTTCCATCACTCCTCTGGACTTGAGGACTCGCTCACGTGGATGTACCTCAACTCCTTGAGTTTTGAACTTGTGTCTGTGTCGCGAACACCGAGCCCAGTCACCAGAACAAATGCCAAGAGTCGAGAGTGGATGCTTTGCAATCAAGCATTCAAGCATTTATTCAGGCAAGCACACACCAAACAGGATGGGGGAAGCCACCGAGAGTGCCTCTTGACTTCAGTCTCATGGAAGTCTGCTGGGCCTTTGGCTCCGGCCTCGTGGGAGCCTGCAAGTTCGAGTGGAAGCCCAAGACCTTGGCTCCAGTCTCGTGGGAGCCTGCTGGCTTCAGTAACTGGGACAAATGCATGGGTTTATATACAAATTCAGGGGCAAGACAGGCAGTTGTTTACAATATTTTGATTGGTTATTACATATTATCTATCAATAACACTTGCTTTCTCTCAATTCTAAGAAAACATGCATATTCATTCTCAAAACATACCTATTCATTAATATACAATTATTTCTACTTTATCATTCCTACCATGACATGCTTACGTACATTGTGGCTTCTTGACAAAGGTGATAAGGGGAGGGCTTGTGCGCCTAGGAGTCTCTTGACAGGAGCGATAAGAGAGGAGGCCCCATTTCACCAGTAGTTTAGGAGGATGGAGTCACCTTTGTTAAAAGACTCTAACATACACACTATATCCATTATTAAGTCACAGCATAACTTACAAAGGAGATCTATTATTGCGCTATTTCTGGATCATCAATTTCTGATAAAACTATAACAATATTGAGGATACAATTAAGATTATTAATAGTACTCCATGGTAACCAAACATCAGACCAGGTTCACCATACCCCTGCTGACTCTTGCGCTGGCTGCAGTTCCTTGTAGATAAGCTGCTGTCAAAGGGACTGCATCACTGAATGTCCATCACTCATCATCCCTAGCCATCTCCTCCACTTCTTCTACCCTGTGGTCCAGTGTGCATCTGTATTGTAAGTGGCATAACAGCATGAAATTATCCATGAAAGGCTCTCATGGCTATTTGGAAGCTGTGGGCAGCAGAGGCAG